GGCAAAGAGGAGCCACTTCATTCGGCGAGAAAAAGAGACGACATGAGGGACTCCCCGCCATCGCCGGCGCATATGATCTGTTAGCTTTTCCCTTTACCCTCCGAGCATGACTTTTCACACAAGAGTACGATCCAAGGCTGCTTGTGGGGCGCTAAAACAAAGCGTGGCTGTTGGTAGGAACTAGTTAGCGCACAGCTGGATTAATAGAGCGGGACTAATTAGCTACAGGGAGTTCTCTAGTCAGCGCTTTGCTGGATGTTTACAAAGAATCTCCCGGAGAAAGAGGGGAGAAATAAAAAATAATAAAAAAAGAAAAATAAGCGTCTTTCTTAGTATGAGTCCTCTGGGGAGAAAGGAAGACACCCAGAACTGATTTTAATGACATGTGTGAAGCAAATGTGATCCTCCCTCTATTTTTCCCCCACCCTCTTACTGCCAATGGAATTTGGAGCTAAAAAATACCATGGGCATTGTGGTCAAAGCATAAACACCATAACTGAGGATGCAGCATGTGAGAATTGTCACCACATGTAAAGAATAAGAGCCAGGCTTCGTCTCTCTCCCGCCGCCTCTCTGACACTGACGAAGCTCTGCAAAACATCTGCCAAGTTTACGAGTTGTTGTTAACCATCTGATCGTGGAAAAAAAAAAAAAAAAACGTATAGGTTTCACGTTGATCCATAGTTCTCACCGTTTCTCCGGCTCTTTGATTTTCAAAAGAGAGAAAGAGAGAGTACACTTCCGGGTGAAAACAGCGATTTTTATACCATTGGGCAATGACCCGGTGAGAAAGGAGACCAGAGCAGAAGCATGTGTTTTTCTCAGTAATAGCCCTCCAGAAAAGAAAGGCAAATTCAGTTGTTAAAGGGCCGTGTCTATCCAGCATCCTTCATCTGAGCTGCTTCGCTCTGCTGGAGGACAAGAGATGATAAGCAGAGGAGGAGAGGGAAGGAAAGGTCTGAGGACAGAAGTGAGGAAAAGGACGGAAGTAAGAGAGACTGGTAAAAAGATCTTACGCTTTTTATGTGGAGGATTAAAACAGCTCCAGCGAGATTAAACCATATTTCTCTCATCACCTAACCTTAGTAAGTCTTTAATACTGTTTATATAATTTTAATTTAGGTTCATGTTTATTCAAATTAAAAAAAAATTGTATGCAATTTCTATAAATATAAAAAAACCCCACAACATTAAGTAAGTTTGGTAAGGTGGACCGTGTCCCCCAGACCGTAAACCAATAGAACAACTTTGTGATGGGTTATAATGGAGACTTTGCAACAGCCCAACTCATCCAACATTAGTGTCTGACCTTACAAATAAGCTCCAGGTAGAATGGTCAAATATTTCCATCAGAACGCACTCCCGACTCCTCATGGAAAGTCTTCTCAGAAGAGTCTGAGCTTGTATGGCTGAAAACGGTGAAACGACTCAATTCCAACACTTATGTCTAAAAAACGAGGTGTCATTAAAGTTTTTGTGTGCATAAAGGCAAGTGTCTTAGTACATCACACATCATACAGTACAGCTTAAGAAGTAATCGAGAACTGTGAAAAACTGTTGTCCGAGAAGAATGGGTTGAAAAGAAAAGAAAAAATAAAGTTCAGAGGCTAAAACGATAAAGTGTGAAAGATAAACATGGACAAAGTTGGGAAAATGCAAGAGAACACGGCAGGAAATGAAGGCGAACACACAGGGAACAAAGAGGGGTAAAGGGAAAGGAAAGACGAAGGATAGACAAAAGGTGATGTTTGAGAGTGAGTGGGAGGCACAGAAGAAAAAAAAGGGGGGAGGAGAAAAGAGGAGAGAAAGCACAGGGATGCATGAGGAGAGAGACACAAACTGACAGTCAAATGAAAGGGAGACTGAAGTGTAGGTGGGAGACAAGGGAAAACAGCAAATGGGGGGGTGAGACATGAAGATGAAAGAGCGAGAGAGAGGGGAAGAGAGACAACTGTCGGGGAGAGAGTGAGCAAAGTGCCAAACAGATAAATAACCAGCTTACTGGGATTACCAAGTGAATGACACAGAATTTGCCCGAGCCAATATGACGTGGCAGTGATAGCTGCTAACCCATATAAACCTGAACGCGGTCCAACGCGTCCCGCGGCGCTCTACTGTTGTCACTGCGCTCTGATGCTACGGGAGCCCGTTGTTTATGTGGGCTCCTGTAAAACGTACCGCGACATCTGCAGGCTCTGAAATGGAAGAGTTGTTTGAAACTACCTGGGCCCTCAAAAAAAAAAAAAAAAAAGAAAAGAAAGAAAACAAATTGAGATTAAGAAAGAATACGCCGCGTGGTTAAACATGTACGGGCACAACAAAGGTTTTAACCAGCTCGTAGCGCAAACATTACGCAACAGATTCGCATTGTTGCTCTCCTTCAGCTAGTTAAAGTCAGTTGACTAAAGCTAAGTGATTTGTCATGCTTTCAGGAAAATCCTTCTCACAGTCTGGAGTTTTAGATGTGTCTGTGTCTTCTTCTTCTTCTACCACAGTAGTCACACTTGAGCAGAAAATTCTATGGTTGAGTCTATAAACACACTTTGTCCTTAAAAGTGACATTTAGAGAAGAATTTCCAGACGATGTCAAGCTGATCCTGTTGCCTTAATGTCCCAGTGGAACATAAAATAAAAACTTAATTATGAATTTATTTCTCATTTTATGAATTTTAAAGCAACAAAACTGTCCTAAGGTGACATTTCTAAGGCAGGGATGCAATGAGATCATGTGGCATAAGTGTAATCCAGTCTGGGTGTTAGCATTCATTTTGTCTGGTGAAGTAAGTGTTAGCTATTTTTAGGTTTTTCAGACATTAACGTATGGGATTTAAGCTTGGGACCCTGTTTAATACATGCATAATAATCTATATGTAGCGACTATTCAGACCACTTTAGCTAATTATTCTCAAAAACACGACCAGCGACAAATCTAGCAACTATTTCTGTGTTATTGGTGACATTTGGTGACAACATAAAACCACCAGTTGCACTGCAGCTACAGTTAGCAGTGGGCGCTGCCTTGAGTCCCTCCAACCCACGATGGACAGCAGGCTTGTCGCGCTGCAGCAAAGTCAGTTTACGGTCAGGTCAGTCAAAACCAGCAAAAATGAAAAGCTGAACTTAAAGAATGAACCAACACTTTTTACCTATTTATGTGGCAATATGTTGGGTACTCAGTAGAAAGCAAACAGTTAAATGTGGTTGATTTGTAAGCATAAGTTAACTGTTAGCTACTCAGATAGCTAAACGTTTAGCATCTGCTTAGCTTCTTCCTCTAGGTGCTAAATTAAGTAAAGCACTACTTTTCTGTTTATGAATGAGTCTTGATAACGTTCTTCAGTTCAAACTCTGTTTAGACTTTCAGTAATCTTGCTAAGGCGTCATGTCACCAAATGCTAACAAACTCTGTAGCGTCTCATCTTATGAGGTGAACGTACAGCCACACCAAAACAACTGAGTGATGCTGAAACTATAAATTGCACATTGGCAAACAGAGATTACATTTTCTTCAGTTTTACATATTCTTATTCTTACGGTTAGACGCTAACAGCTTGCAAACCATGCTAAGCTAAAGGGAAATTTAATCCTTTAGTCATGAATTTGAACTGTACTTTTCAAGACTAGTTTAAATTCTGACATCCCTAAAGGCATAAAACTTGAAGTGTGACATTTTCTGTTTTGGGAAAACCAAAATTTGAATAATTTTTTGAATATTTTTTTTTATTTTGTCTTTAGACAAGACAAAATAAAACAAGCATGGAAATATGTGGATAAGCCCAACCTGTGCTGGAGTGTTCCAGACTGATCCTTCGAAACATAGTTTGTGATTAATAAACTTTGTGCCGCATTTGCGAGAAAAAAAGATACTTTTTAAAAACAAAACGTTATATTAATACATCCGGAACTGTCAACTAAAACCTGAAGTTATTAAAGCAATTTTAACAAACTCAGACATGTTTCTTTTAAAATAAGTTGACCAGAAGTTGTATTTATACACGCCTAAATTCATCACAGAATTCAAAACACACAGCTTCACCAAGAGACATGCACACACACAGACGTTCACTACTCCACATTTTACCCTCTAATGAAGTCCAACGGCAAAACAAAAACCTACGAGAGCCCAGACGGAGTTAGGAAAACAGAGATGTGAGGTGACAGAGAGATGATGAGACAGAGTCATTGTAGTATAAGGAGCCAGTCTATAATTGGAAAGATGTGAAAAATGAAGTGTCAGTTTGGTCAATAAGGGGCAAAGGTCGCAGAGGCAGGAGCCCAAACTCGGCACAGAGCATGCTCATTAGAGCGACCAATGAGCTCTTGGCTGGCTGCTCCCAGACTATTACGCATCAAAGGTAGAGGAGTGGACACACACTTGTACAATGTCTCTTTGTCTCGGGCCCGGTAATTTCAGGGATCTTTCATCAGCCCGTTCCCCTCTTCCACATGATCTATTTTTCATTTCTTTCTAAGCTAAACATCTGAGTCCTTGGCGCTGACCAGTACTGGCGAAATAAAAAAAAATAAAAAAAAAAAGAATAAGAAAAAGAAGCAGGATGTCAGTTGGAAACACGGCGTGTGAACGTGTGTGTTGACTTTGTGAGGCATGGCAGCGTTCTGTGCTCCTACCCAGGCTCTGCCTCCTGGCACAGGCCACCCTGCAAACTGCTCGCCCTGACACCAATCTCAATAATACATAAAGTTGCATTTCTGTGTGCAGTTGGTTTGCAGCATCAATCCCAACACAACCAACGTGCTGTTTCTGTCTGCCTCTCTTTAAAACACACCAAGCCTCACAGTGCACCAACGGACAAAGGAAGAGAAGGTCAAATCTAGGGTTGTAGGCACAAAAACTAGGAGAATCCGATTCCATCGACTTCTGAGAGAATCTACCGAAGCTCAAAGAATGTTAGGAAGACAATATTCCTTCATCCACAACAGGTATACTTAAAAAAATACAAAAAAAAGTGAATGTGAAATAAGAGGTAAGGAACTTTTCTCTTTTCGTTCATTTTTCAAGCGGTTGAACTCTTACCCTGTTCGCTGCTGTTATCTCCGCTGTGAGACGTGTGTCCGCCGCTGGACGGTCCCGGCGTGCCTCCGGAGCGCGTGGACGCCGTGTCGTCGTGGTCTCTGTTCCAGGATGTCTGTTCGGGAGAGAGACAACCAGAGAGACGGCCATTTTTAATACTTCTATTGGCTGTGGTTTTTGTTTTTAAGCAGTTTTAATTTGTGAGCTGAATGTAGATACGTAAAGATGCACCAGTCAAAGTAATTCTGACTTCTATTTTCCTTTGTCATCTTACTTTTGACTGATTTTGTTATTTTTCCCTTCCCCTCAAATACCATTACACATAAAAAATGGCAGAATTTTTTTTTTTTGAATCCATCAGAAAAAGAAGAATTTGTATTTACAATTTGTTTCTACATCAAAATACATCCCTATCAATAGTTTTACTGTATGATGTTGGTGAAGGCATTTATAGGTCAAATTTTGTTCTTTAATTTAATGCGTTTCAAGCAAAGGAAATCCTTGCTACTACAAAATAAAACTCACCCAGAGTTACGCCATTTTCTAAACATAGTACGTCTGGCTAAAGTGTTTTATTGTGAAAGCTGCAAAAATCAACTAAATTGTATTTCTATTTTCAGACTGCCCTTGGATCTCTGATCAGCATGTCAAATAATGACAAAAAAAATACTTTTGAAAAGTTTGAAATATAGTTTGATTCCGGTTTGTTTTATTGATTGGAGCATTTACAGAACAGTGGCATATTAAACAGACACAAATGCAAACTTAAAAATGAACTCATGATTCAGTCTAACGCTCATCCTGCAGTTCATGAGGCCCTTCAACATCTTTTTTTTTTTTTTTTTTCACAAAATGCAGATTATTAGATGTTTCTCAAACAGGCCGGTCCAGATCAATAGAGAGCAAACATGTTGCTTCAGTTCTCAGATTTCTGAAGCATGCAATCCGTGGCCGCCTCCATTTGCCCCAAACCACTAGCAGATGAAAATACGAAACAGCTACAACTTAACCCTCCTATTATGTTCCGGGTCAATTTGACCCGTTTCAAAGT